GGCATTGAGTTACTATTGAAAAATTGTGTACAGTGGTTTATGTAGAAATTTCTGAAATAGAAGCAGTGTTTGTATTTTTATGCTTACACAGCTGCAGTATGAAAAACAAAAGGCAAATTATACTTGATGTAAAGCTGAATATATAAAAGCATTTGTTAGATCTAAGCTATAATTTTTTTAATTTTTTCTAACTGAAGTCTTATATACTTTAAAATGAGCTTCTAAAATATTAGTATTTAAAACAAAAACGTTTCCCCTTGATAGTCTAGAAATTGAATTTGCAATTTAATGACTTCTTTCAGTCACTTCAGGGACTGGTTATTATGATAATATTTACTATATAATCTATAAATGTGTTTAAAAAGTTATTTCGATATAATATTTCTACATAACATAGAAAGGTCTGGTAACTTTTTAAAGCAAACACAAATAGACAAAATGATACTGTGTGTACACTACCTAAATAGTAATGGTGCTAATTTAGATGCTTAGATTGTTTGATATTATTTTTCCAATCAGAAATAAAGGGCACTTTCCAAGGCTTAATTTCTAATACCTTTGAAAGAATATCCTTTCTAGTGTTTTATGCAGACATTTTCAAGTAATATAGCTATTTTTTCCTTACGATTCCATGATTTAGCATGCTTAAGTTAAACCTTCTTTGAAATACTGATGTTTTCTCCATTATAAATCTTAGCATTGGCTTCTTATATTTTGTAAATATCAGTGTGGACTTTGGTGAGCCTGGTAGAATTCCCATTAGTACTTGTTAAATCTTTAGCCCTTACCTAGAACTCTATTTAGGCATTTGTTTGTTTATCAATTTATAGTCAAACATATGCTGGTTAATGCGACCTTACTTTAAAAGAATCATGAGCATTAGTTAATGGTAAAGACTGGATAGTTTACTCATTAGTTAATCTTGTAGCCAAGTTATTCATTTAAAAGAACTAACCAAAGGTTGTCAGAGGACCCATTCATTACAAAAAGCTCATTCAGTTAATTGCAGACAGGAGTAGTCAAGTAAGTTATAGGATTAAAAAGTCCATTCTTGATCACATGATGTTCAACCCCAGAACTCATAGATTTTTTTTTGTTTTTATGTTTTCCAGGTTTATTGGGAAATAACTGACATACTTCACTATATAAGTTTAAGGCATATGACATGATTATTTGATTTACATATATTATGAAATGATTACCACAATAGGTTCACCTAACATCCATAACTGTTTGTACCCTTTTGACTGCTTTCTTCCAATCCCACCTCCCCGCCCTCCACCGATAGATGTTTTTAACATAAGTGACTATTTGTCATGGGAATAAACAGCAGCAGTTCAATAAAATTTATGTAATGAAATAAAAATTTCAAGTAAACCACTTTAAGAAATAATATTAATGAAATACGATTCCACTTGTCCCACTCTTAAAGAAAGGATTCATTTTTTTATTAATAATGTATCCACTTTTTGAAATAGAATACTATGTCATCCATCCAAAGACTCAATGTGATAAGCAGCTGAGCAATAACTAGACTCCTGGGAAAGTAAATAAAGCCCCGGTATGTTGACCTAATGATTCAGAATCAAAGTAAGTGAGGCTTTGGCTGCAAAGAGAGGAGGTGGACGGAGACGGAGAGCGGAGCGTGCGTTAGGCTGAGTGCCGTTGCATGGTTAACTCCTCGTGATGTTTTGTGAAGGCTTTCTTGCGTGGGGGGGTGGCTTTTTTCTTTTTAATTTCCTTACAGTCTTTAAGAGAATGATAGACTAAGTCATGGGTTGGGACATTTTTGCTGAAGCACTTGCCCGTATGATTATATCTTAACGAGCAATCCTTTGATGCCTCGACTCTAAATCGCTTTTCCGTCAGTCCGTCCGGGAGCTTGCCTCCTCAGTTTGGGGGACACTCAGGCCACTGTGGTGACCATCCCCTGGCCAGGGTACGGGGCTTTCCAAAGCGGGGAAGGGATTGCATTAAATGAATCAAAGCTCTCTGGACAGAGTCCCTGAGCCTAGAACCCAAAACACTGACGATCTATACAAATCCTTCATGTCCAAATCTTTTTATTCCTACTACATGAGTCATTTTAAACCATATATCAAGTGAATTTGTTCTGAGCTTCCAAATGTAAGAAATGACATACTTTTATTATTACTTTTACATCAAATTAACTCAAGCTCTAAGCTCCCACCCTAAGCAGGAGGGGAGAGATGTAATTTCAGTAGTTTTCAGTGTGCTCCTTGCCAGGGTCCTTCAGGAGTCCAAAGGCATCACGTGAGCTGAGAAGTGAGGGAACAGGCTCTGCATGTGCGCCCCACGGTGGTCACTGCAGACATCCCCGCCGTCCCAGGGCTCCCTCTGACGTCAGGTGGCTCCATCTCCTCCCAGTGGTCACGGGCAAGGGCCACAGGAGCCACTGCTGTCGATGCTCGGCCCCTGACAGCCGCAGCCCACCCTGTCGGAGGTCCCCTCAGGCCCTGGCTCAGGCTGGAGTTGTGCCCTGGCACTCACACGCTTGCCCTTTCTGGGCCCCCTCCTGCTCTGGGGGGTGAGCCAAGCTTCTCCCTCTCAAGCGCATTGATAGATGTAAGTGCTTCAGCTCTGGCTTCCCTCCCTCCTCAACCTCCAACCCCAGGCCCATACCGGAAAGATTCCTGCTCCTTTTAATCTTTGGGACTCCTAGAGGTGACCCAAGACCCAAAAAGTTTGCTTCCTCCCTGAAGCATAGGGGAGCTGTGGGGGGGTGGGGGCGGGGGTTGAGAGATAGCTGATGTGGTACTGGGAAGTCAGACTTTGAGAAATGCAATGTGGAGAATAGGGATGCGGAACTTTCTCTCCATCCTACTTGGTCCACAGTAGCCAAAAAATAAACAACGAAAATCCTAATCAGTGCTTTTCTTCATAATGCATTATTACTCCTAGACGTGTAAGCACCAGGATTGGGCGACAGGATCACTTGTCTGGTGTGCGTGGAGTCCTGCAGTTTGCAAAGCACTTCCCCAGGCTTTGGGGTGCAGCAGGAGCAAGGGGGACGTAGTGCTTGGCCTCCTAGAGACCACGGTGCTGTGGGGACATCAGTGGTGACGCCAGGAAGTAAAGCAGAGCAAAGCACTGTAAACTGTGATGAGAGCTGTGACAGGGCTGGTACAGGTGGGAGGAACTGATTCGGATAGCATTTGAAGAAAGCCTCTGAGGTGTTCAAGCACAGGCTTGAAGGCTGAGAGCGAATGGGCCATGGGGCCGCTGGAGGTCGATTTCTCAGCAGGCGCAGGAGCAGCAGACCCTGGACAGGGAAGGAGCTTGGCCATTCTGAGCTCCTTGGATTGGAAAGTAGGTCAGTATCCTTTGAGCCGAAGGAGGAACGGGAAAAGAAACGCACCACGAGGAAGACGCCGGGAGGGTAGGCTGGAGCCATCACGATGTTGGAGACCATAGTGAGGAGGTTGAATTTCAGGCTCCTGGAAGATTTTAAGGAAGGGAATGATGGAGTTTGATCTAAATTTTCAAGATCACTCTGTCTGCTGAGTGGAGGATGAGCTCCAGCGGGGAGACATGCTCAGATTTGTAGGAGTTAACACATCTGCTGTGTGTGGACGTCTCAGTGCTCCACTCGCCTCCTCCCAGCCCAGGGCGGGCCTGGCGATGTGGGAAGAGAAGGGCAGGAGCCAGGTCAGGGCTGGTGGGAAAACGTCACCTCTGCATCGTCATGACACTGACCCGCCTCTCCCCTCGGACGCTACTCCGTGCCAACAGTGGGTCGGACACTGTTGTTCTTGCCCCGTGGGGTCAAAATAAGAAGATAGTGGCATTTTGCCAGCCCTTTCCAGTTATTCAGGCTGGATCCAGCTTCTGATATTTATGGAATTCTTTTAGAAAAAAAAAGAAAATATTTGTTGTCTTCCCTATTAAATCAAATCAACAAATATCTATTTAAAGTCTGTTATATTTCAGTTACTATGTGAGCTCTTTCAAGGATATCATGAAATTTCATAATTTTATTCTTTGACCAAACTCTACTGATATTAACTGCAATTCCAAATATGAGTTATGCATTTATTTTACAAATGTGTAGAGAATGTTTATAAATTAACTACCCGTAATAACCTTAAGATGCAGGTACTATTATTATATGCATTTTACAGAAAAGAAAACTAAGCCAGAGAGAGGCTAAATAAATACAATGCATAACCAGGATTTAAACCACACCAAACGCCTTTAAAATCTGTTGTGTTATGTTTTATACTTTGTTACCTTTTTATTTAAAAAATCTATTTATTAGCTCTGGCTGGTGTGGCTCAGTGGATTGAGTGCTGGATTGCAAACCTAAGGATTGCCAGTTCGATTCCCAGTCAGGACACGTGCCTGGGTTACAGGCCAGGTCCCTAGTAAAGGGTGCATGAGAGGTAACCACACATTTGATGTTTCTCTCCCTCTCTTTCTCCCTCCCTTCCCTTCTCTCTAAAAATAAATAAATAAAAATAAACAAATCTGTCAATGAGAAGAATGGACTCATTCTACCAGTTCTTTTTTTTTTTTAACTGTAAACTCCAAATTCACTCACTTGGCCTACATAGAGAAATGCTATAGCACTCCCACATGCTGTGGACATGAGTATCAAATGCTGATGGTGACTTCTGTTTGTTTCACAGGATTATTGGGACTTTGCAGAACTCCCCTGAGTTTTCAGAAGCTTTCCATTGCCCCAAGAATACGTACATGAATCCCGAAAAGAAATGCCGAGTTTGGTGATCTTCAGATGAGGTGTTGCAGCCCTTGGCCAGACTTCTCAACACCACGGCACTGGGGACTCTGTCCATCCAAGAGAGGGGGCCACAGAGGTCCCTGTTATTACATGGGGGTAATTAACAGAGACAAGAGCATCACAACAAAAATGAAGTTAGGTTATTTTGGAAAAGGAGTGGAGGGAGGAGGGTGTCTAATGTCTATCAAGTCAGTCATTTCTCACTGTACAAACTGCTTAATCTCTCAAGATAGAATTACCGTTCGCTTCTGTTTCTCCTATCTTCTGCCAGTTTGACGTTGTCTCTTGAAAACAGTGTTAACCATCATGCAGAGCAGGGTTTCCAGTCCGAGGGAGAAGGGAGAGGTCGAAGAGGACAGTTGTCAGCAAAAGCACGTCAACAACATGAGTTAAAAACACCTTGTCGAAGTACTTATTTGCACTTTTATTTGCAACATTTATGCTCCTTCAGATCTCTTCCAAAGAATTCTTACACATATCGGGGCCTTGGGGCTTACATAGTTTCAAGCTACCATTTCCAGCCACCAGCTTATTCATTCTGCGGTCATTTTAATTTGAGCCCCTAAGGCTAAAATCAATGTCTAAAACTCTCTTTTGTTGTACCTGTTTGGACTGATACTGAGATTCTTAAGGCTCCCTGCAGTTTTTTAAGCGATTTCTTGTTCTCTCCCTCTCTCAAAACTTGGTCTTTTTAAGAGATTTGTAGTAATGTATAAATAATAATTTTTATATTTAATTGTTAACTACATTTATGACTAAGTAATTGTTATTATTATTAATCCTTGAGTACTGAAGTTTCAGACTGAGATAAATAGTTAATGAACCACGGTCTGTAAAGTGATGTACAGATGAACATTAGAGACTTTTTAAACTTATAAATCATATTGATGACAAGCTTTATGTACAAACTTGGGGTTAAAATTGCCATTGCACAGTCGTCTAAAGATACATAAGACTTGTGGTTTACAAGCAGGATTTCCAGAATTAACTCTGTCCCTAAGGTGGCTATAATAAAAGGGCAAAACTGCATCTATGTAGCTCTGCATCTCCTTCTCTTTTCAGATTTGTCATATGATGGAAATATTTTGATAATAAATTACAATTGTGAGCCCATTACTCACTCAGGTTGTTGTGCCAGCCTTCTAGCTTTGGAACGTGATTTTTTAATAGACGTTTGCGCCTCCGTCTCCAACAGACCTGCTCCTAAAATTTTAACTTGCATCGAGTTCTGGAAGGGGACCCTTCAGTCCCTGATAGGAACTCAGCTTTTGAGGCTTTTACGTTCTTCTCTTTTCCTGTCCTGTTCACTACTTTAGTTCATTTCATTACTTGATTAATAATTTACAAAAGAGATGCACTTCTCAAATCTGTACTTTTCCTAACAAAACATGAAAGTGAGGATGTCGTGTTTTTCTGTTTGTTGGTTTTCCTGCTTCTTGAAAAATGACCATTTACCTTTTTTAACACACGTTATTGAAATACAACATATATACGAACATTTCATGAAGCGTAAGTGTACAGTTCAGTTCCTCCAACTAGAAACCCCTTCTCCCAACCACCACGTAACTCCTCCAGGACAACAACTGCCCTCACTACTAGTGTCACACACAAGTTTTGCCTGTCTTTGTCCTTTATGTAAGTAGAATCAATCAGCATTTGTTCTTTTGCAGCTGGCTTCTCTCACGCAACATTACGTTTGTGAGATTCATCTGTCCTTTTGCATTTGATTGTGGATCCTACATTCTCATTGCTGAATGATATTCTAGTTTGTAACCACCCTACAATTCATCCATGCCATTCTTGATAGCACTTGTGAAGTTTCCAATTTGGGACTGTTATGAACATGAATGCATATTACTTGAGATTTTGATGGGCTCATTTCCACAAGTCCTTCCTAAAGTTATTATGAATATTGAACACGTAATTTCAAACTTCAAAAGTGGATATGCTTATGCCTTTTCCCTTGACACGACCACCATTACCATGGATAATTTAAAATACACTTATGTAGATATTTTCCTTAACTGAAAACATATCTAAATAATATTAGTAGCTGGAGGAATGGGAGTACCCAGCTCTGAAAAGAATAACTATCTTTGAATCATTTCATGTCTATCTTGTCCAAACGACTAAATAACCAGAAATGAAGAGTGACTATTGCAAATAATGATATGCCTTAAGCCCTGGCTGTTGTAGTTCAATGGATTGAGCCCCAGCCTGCAAACCAAAGGGTCACCAGTTCGATTCCCAGTGAAGGCACATGCCTGGGTTGCAAGCCAGGTCCCAAGTAGGGGAGCACATGAGAGGCAACCACACATGGATATTTCTCTCCCTCTCTTTCTCCTTTTCCCATCCCCGCTCTCTAAAAATAAATAAATAAAATCTCTTAAAAAAAGACACTACACTTGCCACTGCTAGCTCTTTAAAATGTAAGCCTGCTATCTATATGGAGGGATTTGAGTGACACTTTCAGTGGGGGACAGGCACCTCTCCAGTTGCTGGATCTCTTTTCTCTAGAAATATCAGATTTTCTGAGGCGAAGGGACAGACCAAAGTCAGAAGACCAGTGCCTCCCGATCCCCCATCACTAACCGTTGTTGAGTTGTGTGGGGACTTACGGTTTCTCTTGGCCTCCCCCAATCAGCTGGAGTTGTCCCATCAGATAAAATCCATCTGTAATCTCACACATAAGTCCAATTGTACCACGGCTGACTCCTGGTCAAAGACAGACTCTAAAAGCTGACACAAAGAGACACAGATCAGGGACCTGCATAATTCAGGGATGAGGATGGGAAGTTCTCCGACACCATGCTAAGGAGTCTGCCTCCATGCTGCCATGCCCATGTGGATTCTAGGTGCAAGGCAGAAAAAAGGCTATCCTGGGAGGAGATTTCTTTCTTATTCTAATCCTGTTTTGCCACTAATAGCAAGGGGACCATGGGCATTAGATCTGTTTGCTTGGGCCTTTGCTTTTCCTTCCTGAAATGAAAGAGAATTAGATCCTATCAGCAGTTCCCAGCAAGAGATGGAGAATGTCTCCAATGCTGCCTTGCTTGTAATCTCTCCCTCAGTTAAGAACCACTGGGTAAAATAATCCCAAAACTCCTATGCAAATGCCTGGATCTCAATAGACCACATGACTGTCCAAAGAAAAGGATCAAAGCTTTATTGAGTTAGGGTCTGTGCAGTTCTTACAGTTTTCCCAAAAGCCTTAATTCTTCCTGTCGTCACAGGTGGAGTTCTCAAAGTAGAAGATAATTTAGAAATAAGACTCCACCCCGTCAAAGATGGAAAATCAGAAAGTTTTATCAGGTTTCATCCAATCTCAAAAATACAAAAATGAAAACAAATATTTTTCATACTATGCTTCTAGGCCTAGTCAGTCCTGTTCTGGCTGCTTCCTCGCCCCCGTGTAAACCTCCATAGCAGTTATGTCTTCAAAACTGTTGAGGTCAAATGGAGTCTTTGTCTAAGAAATATTACATATCCTGCTAGCTTGGAATCAAATCTTTTTAAATTGAATGATATTAACCATTTTACCAGTATTTTCTCATTTTTACCAACCCATTCTTCCAAAGATAACATAGTTCTCTGATCTGATTTCTTTTCAAAAGTTCAGTGAAAAGGTTGCCAAATGCTGTGGGCAGTCGCAGGCATAATCAGATAACCTGAGCAGACACCAAAAGTGATTTTGTGCACTGTCCCTGGACAGAGGAACTTGACTTTCGGTTGATCAGGTGAAGAGAGGGGTCACCTGTGACTGGCATCAAAGTGGCCCATGTTTATTGCATTGTAATCTCTTCTTCAGTAATGTCTTAATTTCAGCGCCTTTGCATTTCACCTTTCGTCTAAAACAGTGAGAGATACTACTGTCGTTTTCAATCTCGTAGCCAAACTATTACGCTTCTGTTTTTCATTTGACAAAGCAGGCCCTCCAGGTGTGCAGGGGAAGCCTGGCAGAAAAACGAGCGGTGGCTCCACAGGAAACGATGGGCCCTCGGCCTGGGCCCTGTAGAGAGGCTAGGCAGTCTAGCCATTGTGACTATTCTTTACGTTTCTGGATCCTCTTTCTACCCAGAAGCCAACAATAATTTTTTCAGGTATCCTCCATTTTAACATCTGATTCTACTTCTTTAAATGTACTTGCTGTCGTCATTGATCTCATCACCTCAGTTATAATGCATCTTAAAAGTTTGCTCTGTGTCCAGGAAAACAAAAATGGGGCCCAGTACCTGGATTAGCATTACCTTGGTGTAAACCCCTCAGCGCACCTGCTGTCAATGTCCTGTCCCCCAAATTACAGCATCAAGTATGGAGTGCTAAAATGTTTACTGTAGTTTAAACTATAATATCAAAGAAATGGGGAGGGAAAACTAAATAGCAAAAGACACATTTGTTCGAAGAAAATATGAAAGGAATGCAATGTTGAATATGCATTATGATTTGAATTATGTTACAGTATCGTCACATGGAAAAAAGGGTTGGAAAATATATGCCAAAAATTAATAGGGAATATCTTTGACGGGTGGTATATAGGTGATTCTTATTCCCTTCTTTCCCCTGCATTTCAAATATTTCTATGAGCTGAAACATTACATTTTAAAAGTCATCTGAAGGTGTTATTTGGAAGAAAGGAGGAAGTAAGGGAGAAAAGATGGAAGGGAAATGAAGGGGAAACTTGACAAAAAAAAATGAAACATAATTCCGTTGAATTTAGGATGTATTCACTTATTTGAGAAGCTATTCAGCTTGGTACCCTAAGGCATCCAGTCCGTGGAGTGCGGTTGGCAGCTCTCCCCCACCCCCAACGGGCCAGACCTCCGTTTTATGAGGCAGCTTCGATACACACTGCCTCCCACAGAGCAGGGGAATTTCAGCACGTCCTGCTGGCTGTGCTTAAATGGTTCTGTGAGAACAAAGCATGTATTTCTAGAGGGGTTTTGGGTTTGGGTTTTGGGTTTGGGGTTTCAGGTTTTTATTTCTAAAAATGCTGAAGGAGGAACTGATCTAGGCACACTGGTCTACCTGGTGCTCCTCCATACAAAACCCAAGTACATGCTGAACCCTGAAGAAGGTTAAGAATACAGCCTGTAACTGTGAAACAGAAGCCAGCAAATCACAGTGAGCAGACCTAAACGTTCCACCTGGTAGGCACTGCCATTTCCGGGGGCTCAGATGCTAAAAGTTAGAGGTTGAGCATGGAGGAAGCAGCAGGACACAGCTAATCCCAGCTAATCCCTGCTTATATACGCTGAGTTTTCACTTTGGTTGCAAACGTGAAAGTCAAACTTATTCTGGGTTAGCCAGAACTGGGGGTTTTTTTGTGCCACCCTACCAAACATGGGCACAGGTGAGTAAGGACCCTCTTTCCGAGTGTCATCTGGACTGCGCAGGCTGCCTTTCTCCAAAAGAGAGCCAAGATGGCCAACCACACCTAGGCTCAGAGATTCTCTGCTTCCTTCCCAGGGGAAGGACAGGCTCGAACTGCAGTCTCTGAAATCCTAGAGAAACCCAATTGGCCCTTTGAAGAAACATGCCTACCCCTGTGAAAAGGGCAGGAGGAAGTGATAAGGTTGTAGACGTTATGATCGTTGATTCCCTATGGAGTCAGAGAGGGGTAGTTCAAAAGAAGGAAAGCACCATTCCTAGAAGAGAGAGGTTAAAAAAAAAAAAACAGATGGCTTCACACCAGTAATACCAGATACTTCTTAAATGCTTTGCAAAACATTTCAGTTTGGATTACATTGTGTTTATTAAAATTTTAATGTAATTTTAATTTTGGGCAACTAAGAGGAAGACATTATACATGTTAGTTAAATTTATTATTTAAGAAACTTAAAAATTATTAACAAAAAAGGGTGGAAAGGAAAAGAAATAATGTTTATTTTTATTGTGAGTGAGGCACATAATTTAGGTCATTTGTATACTTTCCATTTAATATAACTAAACTATGAGTTAATATTAATAACCCTGATTTAACAGATACTGAATTTGCATTTCACAGAGGTTAGCTGATTTGTCCAAATTCATACAGTAAAGGACAAGGCCAGGGACCAAACAAAAGTATGTTGAAGTACAAAACCTACATAAATTTACCATCAAAGCTCTCCATATAAAATGCATGTAGGTCAACTTATTTGTAGGTAGTCATTTCTAAAACATATATCTTTTAAGAAAAATAAATGAAAAACACATTTTCCAACTTTTATTCCTTTACCTAAGCCTTTATTATTTGTAAAAGAACATTAAATATTTCAAATGATTATACTAGTAAACACTTATGTTCAAGGTACTTTATTAGAGGCAAAAATAATAATAGCTCAAAAAGAAAAAAAGAGAAAAGCAAGGTAAAGTAATATTCTTTGGCTTGTCACTACACTTATCCAGTATATCCATTCACTTATTCACTCATGAAAACATCGGTTACTTCTTGTATAATATACAGTAATATGCAATATCACACATTAAAGGGCCTATTAGAAGATTAACTTCTATTAGATCCACTAGAAGAAAAAAACAAATGAAAATCACTGGCCTTTAAATATAGTAGAAACATTAAAAATACATGCAAATAAATATAGCTGAATGTGTGATGTGCCAGGAGATAAAAGAAAAAAATTGAGAATAAAGAGGAATTCTGTTTCCTAGCAGGCCAAAGACATTCTACAGGAAGTAACACTTAAGTAGCATTTGACAGTATGGATGGGATCTTGACAATCAGAGAAGGAAATGAGGAAATATTTTTGGCTAAGTATCTCCTATTCAAAATTAGGCAACAGAGTTAGAACTCCACAGTTACTTTGTGGAGCAATGCTAGCTCTGGAAAAACAGCAAAGGGAGCATACACTCCATTCGGGACTGCTGACCGTTATCCACACTTGACTCTTTGACATGTCTTGGACCAAGAAGAGTGTTCCTTATCTCTTTAAGTATTTTATGCTGTTCCCAAAGTTTATTCATTATCATTCTACTTTGAAAGAAGTCCCCTGCATTTCTTGCATTTGTTAGAAGTTGTGTGATGAGGATAACATTCATCTTTTTCTGGGAATTGAGAATTCTACTCTTATTCCAGTCTTGGTACTAAATCACTGCACAGAGTGAGTAACTAGTTTTCTGCATTTCTATTGTCATATAATTAAAATCAGAGTTAGGATCAAGGCCTCCTCAAAAATCAGAAGGCAGGCAGATGAAATGTTTTGCAAATCAGACTCCTTGGAGATGGTGAGAGATCCCTTCACGCAGAGGAACTAGGGCACACTGTCATGGAAAAATGTGAATCCAGACAGAGCCAGATAGACTTGGGAACACCCAAGGTCAAAGCTCGGCTATGTGGCAAGTATTTGGCTCCTCTAAGCCTCAATTTCCTCCTCTTTGAAATGGTCTTAATCACATATACCTCTCTGGAAAGGATGCTGCATCAGTTGCCAAAAAATTATATTTTCTACTGTGTTGAAACTTAGTACCTTGATCGTTACCTCTGACTTTTCCTTGACACTAATTAAGTCTGTGGTATATAAAAAAACACAAGAGGTTTTGGCCAAAACACCAAATTTTTTTTACAATATTGACTTTTATGTTGCTCTAGGTGAGTCACATACTTGATCCCTTTTGAATCATTTTTTTCTCACTAGATACTCTTGAAACAGAAAAGGCACAGAACATGCAATCCTTTAAATAGCAGAGGATTTCTTCAAAAGTAAAAAGAGCAAAAGCTAGAACACACTCAAAACAAAATGGAA